TTGGATGGGAGCTAATGCATTGTCCAGACCGCGGCCACCACCATCACTTGATCCAATGTCTGGGCCGTTGGATCCAGTACCTTGCTCCAGCAGTGCATTGGATGGCTGCTCCATTACAGGCAATTGCCAGCGGCGGCATCATGGGGCTCTTGCCAGGACAGTTGAACGACATTGCCAGCGGCGACATCATGAAGCTCTTGCCAAAACAGTTCGACGATATTGCCAGCGGCGACATCATGGGGCTCTTGCCAGGACAGTTGAACGACATTGCCAGGGGCGACATCATGGGGCTCTTGCCAAAACAGTTCGACGATATTGCCAGTGGCAACATCACGGGGCTCATGCCTGGGCCACTGCAACTTCTTGGAGGTGGCCAAACGAATTCCATCCAGAATATGCTTACGTTGGGCAACGCGCTCATGGAGTGTTCAGACTCACAACAAAAGGACTTGGTCCAGTGCCTCGGCTTCCAGATTGTTGGGAGAGTCCCTCCCCTGAACTTCTTGAACCGCCTGGGCGACATCTTCGGAGAGTTCATCGCCGCCTTCGCAAAGGTCGCCTCCACAGTGGCGGCTCAAGCCATGAAGGGAGGGGAATCGTTGCTGCAGACCGCGGCCACCACGGAGTTCCCCTCTGCCGGCGCTCAGGCGATGGTGCATCACAGAGGCCAGGAACGCTGCACCTCTAGGGCACTTTAGACATTTAGAGGGCATGCGGAACACAGAACCTCCTGTGTAGGTCGTTCTGCTGCTGTAGATGAGAGAGGGCACATCTGCCAGCCCCAACCTAACGCGATGGAAGAGACAAACTCCCTTATTCTATCGCCGCACTAGCTGTGCAAGAGCAGACTTTGCAGCTTCTGTGGACCGTGCTACCACCTGCTTTCACCTGAAAGCGCAGGACCCAACCTCGTCATTACGAAGCACTCGCAGCAGCTGCCAACGAGACAGCAAGCGCTGTTGCAGGAGATGGCCAACCTGGAGGCATGCTCCGTTGCATTGCCATGGCAGAAGTCCCAAAGTAAGAGAAGCTGCCAACATGGGCCAGTGCAGCTCCCGACATCAAGCATTTTCAACCAAAGCTAAGACCGATATCCATGTCTAATCTTCCAATTATGTAGCTACCGTGTGTATATCTCTACAATTTTATCTGTACATGTATAGACTTGTATATGCATGTATATGCATGTGCGATCGTTCCGTCAATCCATCCGCCTATGTTAAGGTATACCTATCTATCGATCTATCTGTTAATGCATCCCTCTATCTCGGTCTATCTATCTGTCCATCCATCTATCTATCTGTCTATCTATCCATCTATCCATCTATCTATCGACCTATCTAACTATGACCTCTCGATCCATCGACCGCTCTATCTATCTATCTGTCTATCTATCTATAGTTATCTATCTATCTATCTAGTCTATCTATCTATCTATCTATCTATCTTTCTATCTTACCTATATCTGTTCATCTATGTACATACACACACACGTACATACATACATACATACATACATACGTACGTACGTACGTACGTACGTACATACATACATACATACACACATGCACATGTACATGTACATCCGCACGGGTCGTTTTCCGTCGCGCGTTTTTTGTGAAAATACGCGTTTCGCCACAGCGGGAGCGCATTTTTAAGACTTAAAATGAGGCTATTTTCCGAGCTGGTTTTGTGAA